AGGGAGCGGGGCGGGCCTGGGCGGGGGCGAGGACCTGGCCTGGGTGCGGCGCGGGGGTGGCTGGAGCTCCGGGACCCTCTTGGACTTTAGCCGGGGCCGCCCTAGGGCCTAGACAGGTGCGCTGGGCTGGGGCCGCGGGCTTCGCCGCGGGCGTTCTCCACAGCGCTGTCCGAGGGCCCATAAAGGCAGAGGCCTGGGCGCTCTCGTCGCGCCACAGGCGGCTGCAGCGCAGCTTAGGTCGGGCCCGAGGGTGATGGGCAGCGAGCCCCGCGAGCCCCGGCGGCCTGGGAGAGCGAGGGGCGGCGCGAGGCCGGGGGCGGGGCGGAGCGGGTGGGGCCAAGCTCGGGCCGCCGGGAGGCTGCGTCTCTGGAGACGTGAGGTTGGCAACCATTGCCTTCTTTCTAACCCGAGACCCTCATGCCATCTAACTCTTGCCTCTCTTCTCAGTGGCATCTTTCTTACTTTGTTCATTCTCCGGGCTCGCGGTCTGCCTTCCGGAGCCATGTCAGAAGGAGTGGACTTGATTGATATATACGCTGACGAGGAGTTCAATCAGGTGAGGGGTCAACGGGAGCATTGGGATTTTCCTGGATCCGCTGAAGAATCACTTCCAGCGTACTTGCGGTGGTTCCAGATTGTGCCACCAGCCCTTGAGGATTGGCCTGAACACGCCTCATCGGGTCTAAAATTGTTCTTTTAGCACAGACTTTCAAGACTTGTGACCATTCCGCTTTATGTTAATATAAGCCTCCAGGCTTAATTTTAAAGGCTTTGATTTAAGAGCAAATAAAAATTAGGTTTAATAGATTGGTGAATCAACCTGTGGAACTCATTGCCCCAGGAAGCCAAAGTTGGGTATCTGTCTCCTCAAACACTAACCACATTTAAAATCAGAATTGTGTTTGTTGTAATGTTCATGAGGACGGTATTGATACCTGTTCCTTTGAGATTCTGTCAAACTGCAGCTGGAAAAATATAGTAAGGCAGTGCAGAGTCACACTATAAAAGATATTGTGACATTTTTCGCTTTATTTTGATTGTTTTTTATCTTCTGTAAGTAGCTTGAGCCCAATTTTAAGAAGTCTAGAGGTATTTTGGTGTAACACATTTTATTGTGTTACACCAAATCTTAATTGTTTGGGTGTTGAGAAAAAGCAGGTGTAGACCCACTCACATAACCTAAGTTGGATTTGTTGGTCTCTTTATGTAACATTAAGAAACATTATACGGTGAGTTCCCTTGAAACAATAATCTCATATACAGTTCAAATCTGAGCTCTTGAAGTCAAATCTCAAGAATGTTCCAAAGCCGCTATTTAAAACTTATTAATGTCTTACCTGGATTGTTTTCAACCCATTCTACTTGAGTAAACTGTCTTTTTCCCATTGGTGTCTTATAATGGGTACACATAGGATTGAGAAGGATAAAAAGAACAGACTAGAGAAGGAGAGTGTACTGCTTGGACCCTGACTTTAATACGAGGCAGCAGAAGAGGTTGAAGTACATTTTTTTCACTTAGTATTAGTTTACATTAAAAAAAATTTTTTTTAATGCATTATGCCTTTTTAATGTGAAGATTTAAAAACACAAAAGTAGAATTGTGTCATGACCTCGTACCCATTATACAGCTTCACCAGTTACACTTTTTGATCGTCCTTTTCCTGTGTCTCACGTAAACTGGAGTGGGTGCTGATTGGCCCGAATACATGAAAAAAAATTTTTAATTTTGAAACAAGTCAAATAATTATGGATAAAAAAAGGTTCGGTATGTTCATTTAGTTACAAACCATTGCTTTCCTGAGTTTTTCGTGTTACTTTGAATCTGACTTTTACTACTTTTTAACAAGTTATGGTTTGTTTTTTAACACAAGATAGCAAGAAAAGAGGAAGGCTTCCTTGGTGGAATTGGCTCCCTTCTGTAGATTGATAACAGTGCTGCTGAGTCACTTTGGAAGATGAGCAGAACAGGGTCCTTGACCACAGGTCTAGCTACATTTGGTCTGAGAAAATGAGATTTCAAAACTTCTTATGCAGTATAAGTTGTAGGTCATCAGCAAGACACAGGTCTTCTCCAGTGGTCACAGCTTTGTCAGAGTAGAAGTCATTGCCCTTAACAATTTGTGTTCTCTGGTCTTTTTTGTTGAAAAAGACTTTTTAAAGATAGAGCAGAGATGGTGTGGGGAAATCTAGTAGGCATATATACCAAACAGACAATATTTGATGCTTGGCAAGTTGAAGAAAGTACAGATTTTGAATGTCTTATGTCTTGTGGAAGGTCGGGGGTAGGTGTGCTTTTTTACCCCCTGTAAATGAGTTAATTTTTGGCAAAGCTGGTTTTAGTGTTATTTGGAAGCTGCTAAAGAAATTATAAAGTTTCTGTCTGTTTAGAATTGTTAAAAGCAGGCTTAGACTGAAGCAGCTAGTGCAGATAGTGTCTTATAAGGTTTTAAGAATGTTACTGATTCACCCCAAGCTGATCCACGCACCAAAACTCCGTCACATGTACTTTGCTCCCCGGGGAAAATGAACACAGTTTCTAGATGGAACCCCGTGGTGCCGACTCTGATCTCTTATATCTTATAGCATGAGCTGCAGATGCCTCTCTTGCTGAGCTACTTCACTCCTGTTACGTCGGGAGTCTTGAGATTCAAGCTGCTCTGTTGGACTGGGGAGAAAGGTTCTGGAAAAGTAACTGAGAGCTGCCTCTCTCCTGAGCATTTCATTTCTGTTCCTAGTGCTAAGACAGGCAGGCGCTCTGAACTAGGCGCTATGCCTCGTTCTCTTCTTTACTTCCATCAGCAAGTATTTATTGAGCTACTTCTGTTTGCTAGGCACTTGAGGGGACTAGTGAGGTAAAAGGGGATCCCTGTGCTCAAAAGAGGTGTTGTTCTGGTGGTTGAGGACAATGGACAGTGACAGGGAAGGAGGAGGGTGTGAAATGAGAACTGTGGAAATGGTATTTATAAAGCCAAAACTTTTTAGTTGTGATTACAATGAAAAGAAACAATGGTATCAAGTAGGTTGCTTTGAGAAAAATAAATCCTAGGCTTTATTACTTCCCTCAGATTCCAGGCAAAGGGGGCTGGAAGGTAAGAACATTGAGCATACAATGAGGAAGCTCTTATTTAAATTCAAAATTCTGCAGGTTCTTTTTTGTTAACCAAGAAGCTTCATGAGACAATCACAATTTTTCCTATACAATTAAACACAAAGTTCTTCCTGAGTATTAAAAACATAGTTCCTTTTTAATCTTCCTGGAATGTAATCTACAATACATGTAAAACATTGTATCGTTCACTTAATTTGTAGAATTAGGTTCTGCTTCAGCCTAATTTGTCACTGCATAAATCACCAGCTTATTTGGTAAACAGGCCATTACCTGTTTTTCTGTCTTACCAGCTGAAGAAGTAAAATGAATTGGTGGTGTTAGCAGATTTAAATCCAAACTCAACTTGATCAGTTGTTTCTTCAATAAAATCCTCAACAGAATCCTCAGCATGCTTTCTCTGTACATCAGAACAGCTCCTGCCAGCTTCTTTGAACTGAGGCTTTATGGCCCAGAAAGACCATTTGAATCTTATGACAATTTTGCACTCATTTCTTTTTGTGTTCCTTGAAGTGGTAAGTTCCATACAATAGGTCTTCCAGGATGGAGTCTATCATTCTGTAAGGCACCCTGAAAGAGTAGATAGTTTGCCTAGGCCTACAGTATGGGGGATTTCCTCTCTGAGCTATCCAAATCTGCATGTTAGTTTGCTACCCAATTATCAGTGGTCATTTTTTATTACAACTTTCAAACACCTCTGAATCAGAGATACTATATAGAAGGAATCCCAATTTGATTTCACCAACTATCCAAGATAGTGTGTTTCCTTATTCCTTTTAAAGAATTTCCATTTTGAAATCCTAGATTTGGTATGAAGTAGTGCTCTCCAAGAATTAGAGCATTGGAGAGGATAAGGTGTTTTCTAAATTCTTACTCTGTCTTGAACCACGAGGACAAATCACCATAGCTAGTACATGAATAAATAAATAAGTGATTCATCTAGAATTGGAATTGTTTGAAATATCAGGGCTATGAAATATTTTACACATAATCTGTGAAGTTATTAGCCCTAGCCGTCTTCACTTTATTCAGTTTATTATCCACCCTGCACTCTGCAGTGTTAGCTTCTCTCCCCATTCTTCACATACTCATTTTTATGCAAAATTCTTATTTATAGATTTGCCTGCCTAGAGCAGTCTTCCTGTGCTTATTTGCCTCACTGATTCCTTTTCTTGTTTTTAAGTTTCCTCTAAAAATTTTACTCACTTTTGCCATTCTTTTTCTGATATTTTTACATGGTTTAAACTCCTCTCTTGTGGGGTTCCTTAGAGTATTAGTGATATTTGAAATTCCTTACATGCCTCAAAGTAGAATCCTTTCCCCTTTGACTGGCAAAACAATCCAATAGTATTATCTTAGTGTGAATGTTCTTCCATTGTACTTCAGATAAGCTGAGAAACTAAAAGATTGTTTCTAAAAGTTTGTGATGATTTGTAGGTCTAAGAATGAATTTTGTAGTGAATCTCTCTAGTCTCACTTCGGAGTCAGCAGTTCTTGTGATGGCGTTGAAGAGAGAAAGTCATAGGAGCTTCCTGTCCCGAGTTTCATTAGAGGAAATGACTCTCCAGAGAACTAGACAAGTTACCTAATGTTGGTTTTTCTTTTATTCACTTTTTAAAAAAG